GCTTCTCAGACTAAAATCGAATTTTGGTTTGTTTATACTACCTTAAATAGACTAATAGATGTTTCTGTTGACCTTCTGCTGGAAGCCATGCTAGCAATGACAGCATTGTATACCTGTGTTTTTCAAGTGGCCTGTTTCCCTGCTGGGACGCTTCTCTGTTGACTTGTTTTCTTGCCAAAAATGGCAGAGCATTTCTGGGAATTTTATGTTTTGCTTTTTTGAAATACTTTTATCTTTCCTGGAGGAAGGAGGACTTGATCAGTATTTGATAAAGATGGGAAAACTGTCATGTGGAAGAGTTGTACGTAATCAAGTATAATTTCGTTTGCTTGGAATGGATTTTATTTCTACTGGGAAAAGTTCAGTTCAGCTGTCTATCCTTCTGGAGGACAGAGTACTTTTTGATTTGAAATTGTGTTTGTACCTATCAACACCAAAGATCCTGTAAGTTTCTGCAAGGAAGGATGGAAAAAAAAAAAAAGCACCATGCTTTGTTAAGAGTAACGAGGGATGTTCTGTTGCACAATGATCTCCTGTGAAGAGATCTCCTTCAACAAACTACTTAGACATGAGCAGAGGGTCCTGTCTGTACAAGAAAGTAATTGTTACCATGTAGGTATGGTGAGATTGTCAGTGCTATGGCAAGTACTAAAATGTTTAGCCTGGTGATTACTCATTCTGTAATGAAAAGCATTTGCTTAGATTCAAAATATCGTGATAGCAGGCCTGTTAAAAAGCTATTATTTGGATACAGCTTTACCTTCCCCATACAGTTGCTCAAGCTTCTTACAGACATAGTACAGGCTTGCTTAGGAACAAGGTTGGAGAGGAGAAGGAGCAATGTGAGATGGTAGGGAAATGGATGCAAGTAAAGCTGACACTTAAAATACTATTTAATCTCATTATTAATTTTCTTCCCAGGTATTGGCATCGATCACTGAATCCCAGAAAACTGGTGGAGGTGAAATTTTCACATTTGAGTAGAAACATGACTCTACAAAGAACAATGAAGCTCTACAGACTTCCTGATGTAAGCAGTATGACTTGTAGAGAATCCCCACAGTTATTGTGAGGCCCAAAATAACCTTCCATCTGTCTCTAACAGCACATGCTTTTCTGTGGAAAGGCGGTGCGTGCAGGACATTAAAAAAAAAGAATTATCTGATTGATGAAAAAGACCTTAAGGGCTATACTAAACATAAGAGACTATTGCTGGAAATGTAGATCTGTATATGGAGAAAATATAAATTTTGACCTAAAAGCCTTAAAAGAACAAAGGAAAAAACAGAAACCTTGACTTCATAAACATGTGGGATTGAGTTGAAGATGCATAAGGCTATTCTCCGTATGATTAATCTGATAAAAGGTTACTGGAACAGAAAAGTAACAGTTCATGGCTTAAAATTCTCAGAGAAGTCCATCAGAAAGTTGGCTGAGTACAGTGGGGTTGTTCATTCCACTCTAATTCACAGCTTTCTCTGTTCTGTCAGAGAATGTTGTTGTTCTGCAATGAGCAGGCTCAGCAAAAGCCACCTTGGTATGTTGTGTACTGTTTATTTGCATGGTGTTCTGGTTTAGCTAGGTTAGTTAAAAATATTTTTTTTCCATGTTTGCAGCTAATAGGCTGGCAAAAAGCCTTAGGATGCATTTCCATGATAGGGCAAGGCACTGTAAGTAGTCTGAGATGTACTATTAAAAAGTCTCATTGCTGTAATTAATAGCCTGTAGAAGCTAGTCTAAGCTTTATGATTGAAAACAACTTCTTTGCTTGTAAAAGCTACCTTTCTATTTGGAGAGATTGCAGAATATCCTTTACCTGTATCGTATCAGTAAACTTGTTTTTATTTAAACAAACCCTCCCTTGTGGTTAAAAATAAATACTATTTTCCTCACTCATAGGACTTTGTAACAATTTATCTGACTTAGGAGAATTGTGTCTGGTGGCTATATTTAGCTTGATGCTGCAGTTTCTCTTACTACTTATATATTTGAGTAATACACTAAAGCACTCCTAGGTATAAAGCATGTGCCATGGCTTGATCTGAACTCCTGCTGCTATCAGAGGGACTTGTTTCCTGTGCTGCCTGCATGCTACCTGTGCCTGCACATGCAGGTTTTCTCTTGCGTGCAGGGCAACAGTTTTCAGAGTTTAAGAATTAATAACCAAATCAATTAGTTTTTAATCTTGGAGAGCTAAGTATAGCTTCCATCAAATCTTGAAGACTCTTTTAATAATCAAAAAAACTGCGGTAGACAATTTCAGATACAGGTTTTGGTGGCAACTCTAGTACTGTTTCTCATGGAAACAATACAGGAACATAATAGTTCAAAGAATAAGGATCTTGCAGTACAAAACGTGTAACTACAGAGAATCATTGGAAACAACAGCAGTGGTACTATGATCATCCTCCTTTATCATAAAACTGAGATTTCAATGGAAAAATAATTTAGGGAAGACAAAGAATACATCATATATCATTCATAAGATACAGCTAAGGCAAACATACTGCACACAGATGTGCAAATAGAAAATAGGTGCTTTGAAAATCAGCTTTTAAAACTAAGTGATGTAGGAGTTCATATGCCTCAGATGTTTATTTTTAGATTGGACTTGGGAGCTTCTCTCATGGAAAATAAAGATTTAATCATTATCCTAATGCTTTTTCTTTAGGTCTTGTGTTTTGGGATTTTTTTTTTTTTTGGAGTTTTTTCCTAAGAAAGGGTTTAAGTGCTGTTGAAGATGTTTATCCTGAGTTTCAGGCTGTTACCATAAAGAGTACTGTCACACAAATTTGTTCACTCAGGCAACACTGTCCTGTCCCTCAGCACCAAACACTGTCTCTTGCATTTTAACCTCTTTTCTTAGTGCCCTTGGAATATCATTGCTGCTGGGAGCTCATCTGCCTTTAAGAGGAATTAATCATTCCTAATCACTTGGACAGTCTGAATTAAAAAGGTTTTCAGAAATAATAAATACTGTAATTAATAAATACCACCCTCACTGAAGGCTGTGTTTGTGCGTAGTACCTATAGTAAAAAAAAAAAACTTTATTTTTTATATCGAAATGTTTAATCTCTTGAGCAAGGAGTTTTCTGAAAGAGGTAAATTTTGGCTGTGTTTAGAATAAGGACAGGAGCATGTTTGTATGCCTTTTCCTGACTGATTGAGATCCTGAGCCAGGATACTCACATGAATATATACCCAGTGCAGCTTGATACATGGAGCAGAGAAACAAATTGTAGCCCAGTTCTGTACATTTTCCCTCACTTCCAGGGCTGCAGATAATCGTTTACAGGTGGCCATTCTGCATGTTGCTGGGCGATAAAGATGTTCCAGCCCAGCTGCTTTTCCTCCCATCCTGCTCCAGTGTACGACTTTAGAAGAGGGACAAAGGCTTGGAGGGAGCCGAAATTACCCTTTTGTATTGTATTTTATTCATAACCTCCTTATGAACTACAGCATAGGAAGCATCATGTTCATGAGTCAGGTAAATACCTTTATGGATTCAGGGCATTTAAAAATCTAGGTGATGTGCTGTTGTGAAGGCAAACCATAGTCCCAGGCTGCTCAGGAAAGCAGGAAGGCTAGAATGTAATACACAGGTCAGAGCTGTGGCATAATGTGCCTTGATTTTCATCTGGCTGCTGGCTCCCAGAGTGTGTAAATAAATACCTCCCCCAGAATAACTCCTTTTGAGTAGAGCATAATCAGCCACACAAATTTCAGGCTTCCAGTAATCAAGTCTCTACCTGGCTGTTCTTGCAATTGACTTTGCTATGATTAATGTGCTGTGTGCTGAAGTATGTATCTCAGACAGATGAATTGGCGTAAATGAGCTCTGAAGAGAACAAGCTTTAGCTTCCCTAAAAGGAAATATTCAAGAAAGCTAAGAAAAGCTGAGGAGAAAACTTTAATCACCTTTGCTTGTTTAAACATTAATTACATAGTACTGGAAAGCAATTTTTTTCCTCTTCTGATGTTTAAAGTCAAATAAATAACTTTATTTGTTAAAATACTGTAGGTTTCTAATGTCAGGCAGCTGTAAGTTACGAGAAGCTTTCTTGCTAACAGAACAGCAGTTGTGCCTGTATAGAAAGTTGAGTTATCAAGAGAGTTTGCAAGTGTTAAGAATAGGTGGAATTTTTTTGTTAAATAATTTCAAAATATACTTATCAGCTGACTTTAGTTTCTAGCTTGACTGTAGTTTTTGTAAGTTTGAATTGCAAGTGTTCTTGTCTTCAGATTAACTTCTGATATGCAAGTTGCTTTATGTTTTGTTTCTGTGTGGTAGTTTAGAAGAAGATAAGAAATAAAGACTGACCTAAAAAAAAAAAAAAACCAAAAAACGGGGCAACCCCCCCCTCCCCCCCCAACAAAATGTGTGAAGTCTAGGCTGTTGGCAATGGTATCTCTTTCTCTGGAGAAATGAAGTTTTTTCAATGATGAAATACAAAGATTGAAGTGCCCCCAATAATTAGAAGAGAAAGAATTCTGATTGAAAGCTGTTTGTAAAACAGCATAATTAATTAGGTGGCTGGGGTAAAGTAGCCTAATAATGAATGCATTATAGCAAGTGGAGTGACTCTGCAACCTACTTTCAGCCTTTGCTGTGTATGCAGTTTTCCTTTGAACATCCTAATATTTATTTTTATTTTGTTAAAATAAGGCCACAAAGACTTCAGGTTTGAGACCAATGGAACAGAAAGATACTAAAGCAGTACAAGAATTAATCAACGCTTACTTGAAACAATTTAATCTTGCTCCTGTGATGGATGAGGAAGAGGTAGCCCACTGGTTCCTGCCTCAGGATCATATTATTGACACTTACGTTGTAGAGGTAAAACGTGCCCTAACTACTTCGTGAATGTGTATGTGAATGTCACTTACAAAAGTTCATATCAGCATCAAGTTTTTGAAATGTGGACAGTATGAAAAATGTGTGCTATATGTAGAATTGGATATCATTATTCCAACTTTGTTCTTTGTATTGCATTCTGTTAATGAGAAAATGTTTGGTTGTGATAAACTGCAGTGTCCTTACAGCAGGATGTTTTAAAGAACATTTTTGAAATCTCACAATATCGCTGTCTTGGAAATGTTACAGCAAAGAACCTTACATATTTGAAAAAGAACCCTTCCACATGCATTCCTTCATTTTTTTCCATAGATATATGACATGATAATAAGCAGTGGTCTTCAAATCTCCTTTTCTAGAAAAAAGGAAAAATGACACAATGACTGAGATAAGGATTTGGTTTGAATTCAGTACCATTCTCTGTTGTCTGTGTTTCTGCCATACACCAGTTCAAAATTGTTTATTTTTAAAATCAATTTAGGGGCGTCTGCTGGGCATATTGTGTTTTTTTGATGGTCTGCTTCAGTAAAATATCTTTTTTCCAGTAAAAGAGTGTGTGTATATGTGTATGAATTTGTGTGTCTATATACATGTATATGCAAGTGTATATGTAAAATAGAGAAGTAAAAGTCAACATTCCTTGGTGCTGTCATGAGTTGCTGTCAGCTAGGAGGTCAATTATCTTGAAAATTATAATCTTTGTCCACTAGCAAGATGGAGAGCATCATCTGTTCCTACTATCTACTCTTCCTGCCCCACCCTACCATCCCCACCCTCCAGCCTGTTGGTCACAATACTTCTTGTAAAATAAGCAGTGCGGGAATAGATTAGCATTTGCATTGGAAATCTCCAGTACATGGGTGGAATAGCTGCGATAAAGCTAGTGGACAAAGATACACTCTTCCCTTTGAGTCAATGCCAAATTGGTTGTAAACATCGAATTTAGATAGTGTATTACTTTGTTTAAAGCGATAAGGTTATTTGAAGATGATTGGCACTAACATCCTTAAGCCTACCAGCTCCTTGCAGAAGCTGCAGGTTGTGAAGCTCAGTGTTCCCACACTGCAGCCTGAACTTGTACAGGAGTCTCGGCTGAATTTAGAAACTTCGTGTTGGAGATGAGAGGTCCTGCTTATCGGTTGTCATTGCCTGAGCTTAGCTTTCTACTTACTTTGTAGTGGGTCTAGTGCTCTTTGGACTCTTCCATGGTCTAATTTAATTTATCATCCCTCCTTCTTTCTCCCCAACTCCGTGGCTTGGTTGTTGGCTTTGTTGGTGAGCTGAAGCCTGCAGAAGAGTCCACAAGTGCCAGGATCAGCATGAGTGTGTCATTGGCAATGCAGTCTTCATTTTCTTGTTTTACATGGTCTCTTGAACTAGTTTTTCACTATACAAAATGTAGGTTTGTAAGTGCTTAAAATCTTTTTAAGACCTGCGTGACCTGGAGAAGTTAGTGTCAGATTTTTCAGTCATCTTTGTAAAGTGCAGAGCTAAAACCTTAAAATACTCTGTGTAATTCCTGAATTAATATTTTCATCGTCCTTACTAAATTTAGTGAGTGACTTAGTAACCTTTCTGTTATTTGTTGTTGTTAATTTATCTCTACTTCAGAATCTGCACCTTCTCTAAGACAATAACTTTTTTGCACATGATGGGTTCAAGTCTTTTACTTTTTACTGGAGAAGTACTATCAATTTAAGGATCCATGTGAGGTCCTTCATTGAGCTCAAAATAGTGGGCCATAGTCATTCAAAAGTAAAGCAAACAAGCAAGAACAAGCATTTGTGTGTCTCCTTTGCCTTATCTTCTTGGAGATATCAGGAGACCCAATCAGAATAGGAGTGAAAATCTGGGTAGTTTTTTTTATGCTCGGCATGTCAGTCATAACCCGTGTAATAATTGTTTCCCATTTTCTACTAATCTACACTCCTTAAGATGGTTAAAGTTCATCAGGTGAGTGAAATATTAAGAAAGTTTATGTAGGATACTTTAGATTGCTGTATAAGTACCTTTTTTGATGACTACTGGTCATCTTAGAATTTCAGTATGATTTAGCACTGTTGTCTAGCAAATGGATTGTGCTTGTTGATTAATAATCACTAGAGGTGATTTAAATATGGTTTGTATACCAGCACAGTAATTTTTTTTCTGTTTTTAGAAAGTTCAAGAAATTATTCCTCAATGTGAACTTTGTCAGATTTAAAAAACATTCTTTCAAAAATGAGTTCAATTTGAAAAAAATTTCTATACTTTTTTTGGAAGTGTGCGCTGTTAGCTTTGTTTATAGCAGGCTAAGCTTTGGAAACAAACTGAAATGCTTTGGTAATTGGTGGCCAAACTGTTATTGGTGTAATAGACTAGAAAAATCTAAATGTTTGTTTCCTTTTCTGAAGTGACCATTTCAGGCTTCAGTTTCGCTTTGATGTATAGATACATTCTTGGCAAGAATTCAATTTCTTCAAATCTTAGCCAAGATTACGTGTTATGTCATAATACTTACGGCGTGCAAAATGATGCTGAAATTTTTACTTATTTTCTGTAGAACTGACATGGTAGCCTAACCCATAACTGAGTGGTTACTTCTTATTAATTGACCTTGTTTGTGGTTTGTCTTTTTTAGGGCTCAAATGGTATTTTAACAGACTTCCTCAGTTTCTACACATTACCTTCAACAGTGATGCACCATCCTGTTCATAAAAGCCTCAAAGCTGCCTATTCCTTTTACAATATTCATACAGAGACCCCCCTCTTGGACTTAATGAATGATGCACTCATTATAGCTAAATTGGTAAGTTGCGGGGGTAGTGGGTTTTCCTGCTTCTTTCACAAAAGTATCCTTAGGAGTGGTGACAAGGTAAGAACTGGCAGCAATTTATCCATGCTATTGCATTCTGTTTTCTTTCACTGTCTACAGCACAGAGTGCAGTTGATGAGACCTACATTTTTTATATATATATATATATATATGTGTATGTTTAAAAAAATATAAAACACTATGGTTGTTTTTGCTTTTTACTTTGAGTGATGCTAGGGAATGACAAGTGTGTGAAGATCAATAGCTTGAACTGTGTAAACATCCAAGAGCACACTGATGACCATATTCACAAAGTACCAGAAAAATGGAAAGTATCACTAAAATAGTTTGCCTTGGAGATGAGTTAATAAGTTCTATTAAATACATTTTGTTTGTTTAAATGAAATTGTTTGGTTGTTTTATTTCTACAAAACGTAAAAGTTTATTTGTGCAAGCTTTATAATTTTATTTTGTTACTAATTGCTGCCTGTAAAAGCTCTGTAGATGATGTCGTGTCGTAGCTTTTAAGCACACACCTTCATGCATGGAATTACACTGATAGATGTTTTAGTTGAATGGAAGGGAAGAGACTGTAAATGAAGTCTTTAAACATAAGAGTTGTAAGAGTTTAGTGCTGTCTGATGAAAAACTAACACTCAGCCCTTAATCATCAGGGTTTCATGGGAGTGCAGTGCAAACACCAGTGGCAGTGTAGTCTGTGGTACAGAGCTGTGCAGGTGATGCACATCCCAGCACTCTGAATGAATTCTTGGAGACCTGTGTAGCCCTGGCAATTCACAGCACTGCACAGCCTTCATCCAGTATATGGTATCCATTCTAGCGACCATTCCCAATGCACTGCAGAGCATAGCCACGTGTTCTGCTCCTTGTGCTTGAAGCTCACCCCTCCCAGCTGAAGTGCTGCTGCTTCACTGCTTGTGGTATTACATTTACCAGATGAGTGCTCAATGCCAGCAAATGCTAGCTGGGCTCCAGCCAACCATCTTCAGAGCCGTCTGCACTGCATGTAGCACAGGGATTTCAGTGTTGATCCTGTATGAAGCCAGTGATGGTCTGCAAAGGCTGTATCTGTTCAGACGTAGGCTGCATGAAGGCGGCCACGTAGTTTCCAACTTGTCTGTCTCAGTCATGTTTGTGCCGCACTGCAGCTGAGCTGGTATCTATGATGTGAACTGCTTGCTGAGGCTTGTTGACCTATAAGCGGTATTGACTTGAGTAACTATTTGGCAAGGGGAACTCCTGGATAGTCATGGGGAATATAGAACCCCATTATTCAGGCTCCAGAATAATACCTAAGGAAGCTCAGAGACAGACTTTGAGAGGTATTAAGATATATGAAGATACAGGAAGGTGTCTAGTATAATTTTCAGAAGCAGCTAAAACTACTAGTACTACTTATTCTTAAAAGTCAAAGTGGAAAAAGAAATAAACGTTGGTCTCCATTGGAAGTTTGGCATAGGGAGCTGAGTGGCTGGCCATTCAAAAGGCCACAGATGGAACTGGTAAGGAACCAGTTACGTGGTCTAACTGCAAGGCTTTGCACCTTCCCCTGGCTGCATTTCTCTCCGAATGTGATGTGCGATCCTTTCCTTTTAAATGGATCATCATACAGTTAGAATACTGGGTTCTAGAAGCTTGTGGATTTGCAAAGTACCTGCTGGGCCTGTCTGCATCATTAGATGCCTAATTACATTTGCAGATCTGGCACTTGGACTTTTAGATGAGGAGAGGTGAGGCAAGGGAAGAGAAATGATAAACGCACTTCTATTTACAGCTTTTTGTTTACAAACATACTGGCTCTGGCTGGGATGGAGTTAACTTTCTTCCTAGTAGCCCATATGGTGCTGTGCTTTGTATTTGTGACTGAAACAGGGTGGATAACACCCCAGTGTTTTGGCTGTTGCTGAACAGTGCTTGCACAGCCTCAAGGCTTTCTCTTTTTCACCCCCAGCAAGTAGGCTGAGGGTGGGTGAGAAGTTGGGAGGAGACACAGCCAGGACAGCTGACCCCAGCTGACCCAGGGGGTATTCCACACCATATGATACTGTGCTCTGCAATAAAGGCTGAAGGAAAGGAGGAGGAAGGGGGGAGAATGCTCCTGGTTATGGCATTTATCTTCCCAAACAACCACTATTTCCAGGATAGTGGCTTCACGTCTGCCTGCCGATGGGAAGCGGTGAATTAATTCCTCCTTTTGCTTTGCTTGTGCATGCAGCTTTTGCTTACTCTATTAAGCTGTCATTATTTAAATTTACAAGTCATCTTGCCTTCCTTCTACTTTCTCCCCATCCCATGGGAGAGGACCAAGCAAAAGGCTGGGTGGGTGTTTGGCTCTTGGCTGGGGACAACCCACCACACTCCTTTCTGTACTTTTACTCCCAAAGAATGTGTTTTGGAGGTACAAATTCAACACAGCAAATTGCTTTCAGGGTTTGCTTGTCAGTTTAGTGTTGATTTTATCTTCGTATTACACTATCTAAAATTAGCTTAGAACTAAATCTAGTAAAATCTTGGCAATTACAGGACAAAATGCCTGACCTCAAAAGCAAAACCCAAAATTTGGAGTTATGCACTTAGGTTCCATGTATTCTACATGCAGAGAGTGGGATGTTGCAGCAGGCTAATCTCCCCAAAACCCTGTGTATTTTATTGTTGAAGCTGACACTAAGTTTCTAGATTTAGAACAGGAGAGAGCTTATAAACAGGGAAGTTAACTTCTGAATCTGCTCTAATGGTCTGGCAGAGCTGTAGAGCAAGTATCTTTGAACAGGTACTTTTTAATACCTCTCAGAAGATACTAACCCGAACCTAACCTGCTTATTTTTAGATTCTGAATTAAAACTACATCTGTAGACTTTATAATTTATTTGAATTTTGAGTGCTTAATTGCAGAGCTTCATTAGTGGTCTCTATTCTCCCCTGCTTCCTTTCCTGCCTTCTGAGATTTCTGTTACTGTCTATTACTAACTTGGAATATTTCGAAATTCACTTCTTCAGATGCCAAGTGTCAAATCCTTGCCACCTTACTTGTCTTGTTTCTGTGTGTTTTTTGCAGTACATTTATCTTCAGTACATAGCTTCATCTGCACACAGAATGACCTTTGTGTAAACTCACTGTCTGTGTATTTCTTTTAAATAGTCGTAAATTGACGGGGAGCTTAAAATTCTTTTTCTTCAACCCCATTTTTTCCTAATATAGGGTGCTTATTTAAAAGAAAAAAAATGCATCTAGTTTTAATACTGAGTAAAGAATATTCCTTACCATCTTCTTGTGCTTAAGTAACTGAGCATTATTGTTTTGTAACTTATTTTTTATCTCTGAGTATAGAAAGTCCTGCTGGCGCACTGCCCTTGTGCTGTTAAAGATGCCAAGATCTTAGGTCAGACTCCCTTGCGGTTAATTGCAAATAAATGGACTTTTAAGTCCAGACCCCCAAGCAAATTCAGCTATTCATACATGATGACTGTCACTGCAGTTGCTTAACTGACCTTGTTTTTATGTTGCTTGTTAAGAGTTCACAGTGAGTTGGGATTTGAGTGTGTTTGTGTTGCTGCACAAAACGCTGCGACTAATTCAGCTATGTGGCTGTTCTGAAGGCAAAATGGCTCTTTGAGTGGAGAATTTGGGAGGTTGATGAAAAGAGTAGTAGCTGGAGGGTGCATGAGTAGGGGAGGGAGAGTAACGTGAAAGATTGGCGTTCCAAAGACAATGGCATTTCAGAAAAGGACCAAATCACAAAAATACAATGTTTGTCATTAACAGAATGAGAAGTGGCTGAAAAACACCATAAACTGTATTTATGCGGCTTTAGCTGGAGCAGGCCATGTGTGTCAAAACACTGTATGTGACTGTAAAAAATGCATATCTATAAGGATAGATGCTTTAGGGACTTTTACCCCTGAAAGTAGCTTTAAACTTCCTACCTTTTTGGCAATAATCTTCAATGAAAGTTGTGCCTTATACTTCACGTTTTATTGGGAAAATTTCTTTGTGTGTATACCTAATTAAAAGACAAATTTATTCCCTTGTCTTTTTTTCCACTTAATTAGCCTAGTCTCTTGGATATTGTATGCCACTGCGTAGAGTATCATTTGTGTGTCATTTGAAACTTTAAAAAGTTTATTTAAAAAATGTTTTGCTATTGCCAGAAAGGATTTGATGTCTTCAATGCACTAGACTTAATGGAAAACAAAACATTCCTGGAAAAACTCAAGTTTGGGATTGGAGATGGAAATCTGCAGTATTATTTGTACAACTGGAGGTGTCCTGGCATGGAATCTGAAAAGGTAAGACAGAAAAAAAGAGTTTCTGAATTTTGTTAGATATAATGGTACATTAATCTACACTGGACAAAATGGGCAGAAGTTTTAAAAGAACTTTTTTAATTGGTCATATTTAAGATCCGTGATTGAGGTGCAGAAAACTAATGATATTTAGATTTGTTAGTTCTACTTGAACTAAAATACTATCTTTTTCTTCTTCCTTTAGGTTGGTCTTGTATTACAATGAGGACACTTATGTTTCTAGAACTCTGAGGTCATCATTTGAGTTAATTTGATCTCCATAACTCTTGGAATGGTATTGTTCAAGAGGAGTAAAAGCACAACGTCAGTGATACTGAAATAGTCCATTAAACCCGAACAATGAAGACATCCATATGTGACCAAATTTATGCATTTGCAGATAGCAGAAGGTCCATGAAACTCTTTATTGTCCATGAAAAGAATAAAAGCACATTCATTTAAGTTTCAAAGCTTAGCTTGCACCTTGATGAGAAGAAGGTATTTTTTTTCCACTCTGTAGAAAAGACTGTTTTGTACAAACTGAACTTCAGTGGTGGATTAGGGTACAAAAATATTTGCTATTATGTGGATGAACTGCTGCATTTTTATTTATTAAAGTGGTGGTGTATGTTTGTTAGTGTAACAGAATGAAGGATACAAACATGAGTATCTTTGCTTATTTACTTCATGTGGATATCATCATTTGGGGGAAAATCATGAAGTATGATACGTTTGTAGCTCTATGAAAGTCCTGGATGTTTTTGTAACTGGAGCAGTATGACAATGTACTGGTTTAACTAGTGCATTTGTTTCTCCATAAGCAACGCTGCCAAATCAATAAAAATACAGATTTGTACTTTGATCTTCAATAGATCAGTGGATTGATTTAACAGTATCGCACTGTTCAGTGCAGGTGTTATCTATGTTGCCGGAATGATAATACATTACTGTACTTAATTTACAGTTGTGGCACAAAACCTTAGTTTTTCCTCAGTAGAATAACATCAACCTGTGTGTAAAACTAAGAATTTTAGTAGTGCTATCAGGATATTTATAGTTTGAATGTTTTCAACGCTTCTGCGAAATTGCACATATTCCTTTGTCTACTTTGATTTCCTATGAAGTCTGTAATTCTAATGAAAGTATCTTGTGTAAATACGTATTCATAAATTGTTCCTGGTAGTGTTTTTATCCGGACTTTGGAACAAGAAGTTTTGCTATATGTGTGGTTGATGAGCAGAAGATAAATGCTCTACCCTCAGTCCTTGGAAGTATCTGTACTGTGCTTCCTGAAATGTAGGAGGGCTGACCTTTGTTGTTGGGGGAGCTGTTTTAATTCCCTCATGAATGCTCACAACCAGAGCAGCTTCTGAAGCACTTTATATGCATTCCAGCGTAGCATCATAGCTAGATATGGTAACGGTCTCTTTCAGCTCACAGATGCTGCAGTAACGTGAGCACTGAGAAAATCCACGGTAAGAAGCTGTTCTAGCTGAAAGTGCCAAATTGTCGTAGTGAAGCCTCTCTGCTGTGAGCGTCTTTTGAATGTGATTTGAATATCTCATGAAATGCAAATGTCTAAACTTTCCTTTTAAACATGCCTGTAATTCTGACAGCAGATTTTGCTGAAAGTTGAATTCTGTACCTGAAAACATCACTTTAGATGAAGATAAATTGTCTGTTCTTCATAACTGGTGGCCCTACCCACCCCCTTCCAGAAGGGGGCGTTCTTTCTTCCTGCTCCTTTCCCACTGTGTGAATGGTTTGTGGTTTGGTTTCTTTCTCTTGGTGAATTGTGGTGAGAGGATTCTGCCCTAGAGACAGTGATAAATGCTTTCCCTTATTGCATTATAGCTCTGTGATTAAAGCATTTGACCTCCTTCAAACAAAGGAAGGGATTGAACGTGGTTTGTCTGACCCCTGGGTGTGCACCAGCTCGGGACCTCATGAATTTAAAAGGGCCTCAAAGGAGATCTTCCAGACATCTAATGGCACGCTTGGGCTTTACAACTTGGGCCACTCTAGTAGCAGTCATAACAGGTGGTGCAGAGGGACCTTGGACTCCCTGTGTGAGGCCTGAGCTGAATTAAGTGCCTGAAAATGTAATTGATGGTAGCGATAGCTGAGTTAACAAGAAGGATTTAATCTCAACTCCATTGAAGACTTAAGTTCTTAACTCCCAAAAGGCAGGAAGGTGCCTTCCTGGCTGGGCATTCGCATTGCAGCTTGCTGGGATGAGGTTCACCAAGGGGCTTGGTGCGTTCCACTTCCACTTTAAAGGCTGAGCCTCTGCAGTCCTCCCTCGGCTGCTCCCTGACATGAGGTGGGACAGTAGGGCATAGCTCTCTCCCCATGGCTAATGTACCTCCTTGCTAAGAACTGATGATGGCCTAGCTCTCCTTAATTTGGATGGGTGGTCTTGAATGCCAGGTGAAAGATAGGGTCATGTTCTCTGCCTTCCCTCCCCTCAAAAGAAATGCAAGTGGAAGGAATGTTAGGCACACATTTTCTTCCCTCCTCTCTGAAATTGGAAGGCAAATCCTCCCCTATTGTTTGTAAAAGCATTGAGGCCATGGTGGGACCAAATATGTCCAGATAGAAGATGGACTTGAACCTGGGTTTCCTGCAGCCTGGCTTTCTGCCCTAATCTTGGAGTAACTATGCATGAAGGAAGGAGCATGGCCACTCTTGTGCTGTCTTCTGGAAAAACAGTGCCATTTGCTTCTGAATCCGAAGCTGAATGAAACTTCTCTGTCTCATTTTCTGGTTCATGCTGCATGTTAACTGAGGAGCAGGAGGGCAGGGTCGTGCTCCTGTAGAAGCTGTGCAGCACCACAGCTGAGAGAAAACTTAGCAGGCCACAGAGCATGAAGGAAGCAGGCATCTGAGCCTGAGTTGGGGCAGTTGCTGGAGAGTTCTGTTCATGAACCTGTGTGCGTTACCTGGGTAATCCAACATGATCTCTTTTGTGCCTGTTGAGTGCTCAAACCTTTGACTAGCTGTGCTCGTCACCTTAAGTGATGCTGAAGTATCACAGCATCAAGACGATGTGAATGTTGCAGGTGTCCCAGCCCACACCAAGCAATTGGACAGTTACTTGGGAGGTGGAAATTGTGGCAACTCACTCTTGCTTCCTAAGCAGGTGCTTAGCAAAAGGTTATTATCCATGTGGGTGCCAGCAGCTCAATAGGAGAGGCTCTTCTGTTGTTTCCAGAGTTGAACGTGTCTGTGCATTATGCTTGCTATGAACAGCTACCGGGTAAGTCTTCCCAAAACCTAACAGATGGTTTCGCAAAGATGAGCAAACCTAAGGCTCACTCCACCACCTTTCCCACCAGTCTTTTGAAACTAATTTCTTTCCGAGAGTGACTTCTTCCTATCTGTGGAGGAGACACAGAGAAGAAAGACACAGAAATCCCTGAAGAGAGCTATAGACCAGGGCAGGCAGCAAAGTACTTGCAAGATGATTGCTGCACGCACTTACATTCTTTACCAGAGCTAATGCTCACGCTCTGTTTCAAGGCTAACATTTAAATGTTACAGTTAGCCAGCACAGGAATCAAATGCACTTGTGCTAGCATGCCTTCAAAATTTTATGTATCCAAAAAGCCAAAACAAAGGACATGTACGAAGGACTATGAAACAAGGCAAACAAACTCACCTCTTCTTGCCATCCTCAACCAGGGAGGGCCAAAATTTTGGCATTAACTGTCTTAGTTTTGTTTAAACTTCAGGCAGCATCATGACTACAGAATCACTGCTACAGTCTCCCTTTGTAGTTGGTATCCTGAACTGAAGTCACTTTTAAATAAATCCAAAATACAGATTAGCTATCTGATGGCACTGGAAGGCTGGATTAGCAAATCTGAAAACCACATGTACATTCAGTCTTTTTAAGGAGCAACAAAGAAACTCAGTTAAGGTATTTTACATTTTCTTCTACAGTATTGTACTGATTTTTGCTTAAAATATAGAGAGCCAAGTAAACTCAGCTGTTGATGCCGACTGTCTGGATTGCAGCCCTATTCCCTTTCCTTCCTACCACACAACTGCCTCATTAGGAACCTGTTCATAGGCCGTGGTAAAACTAAACTCAAAAGTTACGCAGTATGTTTCCAGTCCTATAGTGGTTAGAGCTGTCATCTGCTTTACATACGACAGTATATGGCTTATCTCAATTTACTGGGAAATAATTTTAGACTCTATTTAGAAATCAAATTGAATTTACATTTATATTTTTTCAGGCATACAGAAGTCTCTTTTTTCAAAATGCAGCAGTAGTCATTTGGTTTTGTTCTGTGTTTGAAAACAAAGTTTTTTCCTCAGCGCATCAGACACCAGGTATTGGATGGAAACCAAGTCTGCATACCTTCCTGTCCAAAACAAGTTTCTTGTTCAGCAAAGCAAACCATGAAGCTTCCAAAGGGAAGCCCACCTGTGCTGTTACAGCTGTTTACTTGAAACAAGCATTGACACAGCTTTTAAAGAGTTACACTGGCATGGACCTTTGTTTAAATAAACTTTCACTTTTGGTATTGATTTGTTTGAATAAGTATATTTAACTCTCAAATCTGGTTTGCTTGAAGCATGTTTATCTGTATAAAAATACAAAGTTCATTTAATGTTTTGCATTAATTCCAAAGATGTACTTATTATGTCTTAATTTACTTCAGCATACTTATTACCAATTTTAACTCCCTGATGTCCAACTGCAAATGAAATATTCACCCCCAGGTAAAGACTCACACCCAAGTTTAAGCAATATTCTTTATTAAAGCAGAAAGTACCTCAACTGAATGCAACATAAAGTTCACTTTGTATTCCAGTGCTTTACACCGTAAAGCCTAACAAAATAGTTCAGTTAGAGCTGTACTTCATACTGCATTTAAAAAAAATCAGTTTAATATGAAGAACCAAACTAAAATCAGTTATGCTGAAAAAGCTTTTTTCTTTTTGCGGGGTGGTTTCTTTACCTTATTTGGATTTGGAACAAGTTTCTTGATTTTCAAAGGCTGCAAAACTACATTTGAAAGATCAAGCTGATTGCTTTCCATACGCTTCCGCTTCTGGCTTGTGGGCTCATCCCCCAGCGCCTCTGCAAGCTGCTCGGGTTCCTGATTTTCTGAAGAATCTGTATGTGCATAAGCCACTGATTCTGCTGTTCTGTACTGAAACCATGGCACTTCCAAAGCTGGTATCTTTGGAATGATTGCTTCTATTGCTTCAGTAAATTTATCAGACTGCTTTTTAAAGCCTAGTGCTAAAATGGATGTTAAGCCAAGAAGTGGTGCAACTGTTTCACTGAGCCGGGGAACCTGGCCTGCTGGTGTGGCTCGACTTGCACTCAGCTGAATAAGATGTGATGTGATCATGGTAGGTTTTGCAGACTTGCACACCAGCAAGAGAAGTAGTTCATTTTTTTCCAATGCTTTTGTAACTTCGTTAACTCCAATAGCAAGCTGCCTTCTGACACTTATGTCAGTCCATCCTGGTTTTTGACGATGACCTTCTACTTCCTCTTCTTTAGGGAGTTCACTGGAGCTAGCATCACACTTTCTTTCCACTGTTTTTTTTGTAAGGGAACGTTTTTTCTTTCTCGGAGTCTCAATCTTTTTAAGTCCAATATGTTTAATCCTTTCTTCTAAAGTCTGTAGTATAAAATGCATATCTTCTCCATCTATGGTTTTCCACTGAAAAACAAAGGGGTTATCTAGACATGTTTTTACAGTGATTTTCTTTGCTTTACGAAGCGTTGCTGTCCCTCTCTGAATTACAGACATCTTGAGGTTCTTTTGTGTTTTGCCACCCTAGCTGTGAAGGGAAGAAAGAGGTAAACATTAGTTCAAATACTGTACTGTTTGCTGTGGACATCATTACCAGAAGCTTCTCTTGGGAATGCAGAAGAGAAACGCTGCATCTCAAAGGGATACTGGCAACGATCATTCTCACATTATCTCAGTGCTAATCCTTAACAAATCCTCCACAAGGGACATGCTGTGCTTTCCCTCCACACACTTTTTAAATAAATAAAAATACCCAGCAGACTGGACAGCAAGGCAACACCAGTGACAAGAGACCCTTCTGCAGCTGAATGAAAGCAGCTGGAGGTACTACAGATTTTTAAAAAAACACAACAAACCCCACAACCACAAGCTGAAGGACCACTCACTTTTCACTGTTGTGCAGCTGCATTGTAGCAGTATTAAGACATGAAAAAAAAAAACCAAAAGCAGAATCACAACATGAAACAAGCTCCAAGTTCCTGAATTTATTTAGGATTTTTAAAACTTCAATTTGCCTTTTTGTTCTTTAATCCATGTCTTGTGTTTGTCTGCATTTAGCAGGTATGAGAGAAATTTGCAAACTATTAATTTATGCTTTCAGTGAAGGAAAGCAATCCTCTGCAGGTCTCCAGAAAGTTCAGAAGGGGTCATTTATTCTTGTGTCATGTAGACCATGCCTTTAGGGATGAGAAAAATTAAATGGAAGCAGAGAAAGGATCACCGAATCACACAATCATTAAGGTTGGAAAGGACCTTTGAGATGATCAAGTCCAACTGTTAACCCAACACCACCATGCCCACTAAACCATGTCCTGAAGCACGACATCCACACGTTTTTTGAATACTTCCAGTGACGGTGACTCCACCACTTCCCTGGGCAGCCTGTTCCAGTGCTTGACCACTCTCTCGGTGAAGAAATTTTTCCTAATATCCAATCTATACCTCCCCTGTTGCAACTTGAGGCCATTTCCTCTCGTCCTATCACTAGGGAGAAGAGACCAACACTCACCTCGCCAGGATAACTGTTCTAGCTCTGGTTGATCTAGTCCAGAGTAACAGCGAAGACATGAAGGCAGGCCTGATTACAGGCCCTGGTAACTCAGTAAGTCCCCCTACTCCTGCTTGGGTTACTATTCACCACCTCCTTTCTAAACTAGTAATAGCTTCATTGTTCACAGCCAAGCTTAGAGAATAAGAGCAGCTCAGGTTTCAAATGACACAAGTATGATGTGACTCTCTCCTAAATTTCCTAGTTACCCAAGCCGGCATATGATAGCATTTATGTACATCTTTGAGCAGCAGCCTTTAGATGTTCACAAAATACCATTTTGCTAGTCGTATCGGTTCTCTGTGTACTGGTAGTACAAGCTACCTTGATATAAAAAAAAAGACAAACCCCATCTTCACTGAAATCCTCCCAACCATTATGTACTGCCATAAAGCAACATCTATGTGGAGAGCTTTTCCCTCAGTTAAACCCCCATCTGGGAGCCAGCAGGGGAAATGCATTGAATGGAGTTGCATAATGCACTGTGAGCTGCAGAGCTGTTACCCAGAACGAGAGTCAAAAACACAAAAGGAGTTTTCAGAGAACAGCAAAACTGAGTATTTCAAAATACAACACAGCACTGTGTCTCTCTCAGAAGTACTATGTCAGTACTATGTCAGTACTCTCAGAAGAGCCTATGAAATGCCCTGCAGGGCCACCCAGGCAATAGTCCATCCAAGCCCAGTTCTCTGCCTCAACACTGGGGACTGGAGAAGCTGTTTGGGGAGGGCAGGGCTGCCCCACTGCTTTGTCATCCATTCCCCTCTGCTCCCAAGCACCAAGAATGGCTGCATCAGGGACGTAAGAGGGAAGATCTGCTGACCTGTTTCATTAGTCCTTTATGGATGACATTAGAGCTATCATCCATACAGTTATCTAACCCCCTCTGCTTACCATCACGGTGGCAACAACCAAAAAGTGGAAAGAACTAAAGACCGGAAACAACCACTAGAAATACTACGTGGGACTGAGTTAGCAATGGAAGCTTACGATATGTTAAAAAAAAAATAAAAATCTGGGTTATCGTTTTTAAAAGCTTGCAGTTAGGGATGCTCTGACGACCTTTTACAGGGGGTATCAAGGAAAGTCAGCAACAGACCCGTATATGAGAAAGGAGAGAAACGTGAGAGATTTCACAGTCGAAAGATTACATTTTTCTTTTCAAAACGGGCATTACTGAGGAAAACAAGCACGCAGGACAGGAAATGCAGCAACGAGGCAAAAACAAAGGGGAAAAAAAAAAGCAGCACTGAGCTCCTCCACG